TTGAGTTATACCAAATGTAAAATTTTACGCTCATTTATGTGAAATCAAAAATGTTAAAGTTGCTTAAAAGCATATGCAAGAGCTTGTGTAAAAATGGCCCTCATGTTTTTGCTTGTATCAGGAGGAAAGTAAAGGGAAATTTTTGAATTTTAGAACGATGGGAAGTCATGAATATATGCGATTATTATTTTTTGTGTAACACTATGTACAACTACGGACTTACTGGCTTGCTATTAATGTTAATATATTTGTTTTCTTACAACGTCGATCGAAATTAGCTTCCTAGCAACCGGTAAGCAGTATACAGGATTTCACTAATGCGTTTTCTGGTTTGTCGTTGACGATATGAACCGAAAGAATTTTGCATTCAGGAAAGCAAGTATTAGGGAAGCACTTTGTTTCCTGCTAACTATTTTTGGCTCCTGGTATAGAAAATGTCATGATAAATCACGGTGACAACATTAATGAAATCCTCTGAAATACATAAGCATGGGTCTGTGTATTTAACCGTCTGTTTAGTGATTTTGCGCATTGTTATGTCGTAATATCCAAACCAATTTGCGATTGTATTTTATTTTAATTCAAAATTCTAGGATTTAAGCGGTGTATAAATTTTAATTTTAAATCTTGGAATAAGAAAAGGACTCGAGTTTTGGTGGCACATTGACTTATTTGGACGTCCGAAAAACCATAGTTTAGTGAAAAATACGTCTTTCACGTGTGTTGAAAATGAATACGGTATTTCTTTATTTATCTATCACTTATTCTCTATGGGAAAGCATTCACAAAATCAGTTTGACAAATTTACAAATGAGGCGTAATTGCTCCCCTGAAGACATATGTCGGTTCATATTAGCAAACATGTGACACATAACGAAAGAAGAAATCTCTGCTGGAATTCATACGGAAACTGAATGATGGTTGGGTTTGAACATCATATAACAATAGCAACTTTTGGCTTGAATCTTTACTTTCTTCGATGTATAATTATATTGATGGAAGAACTTGCTCAATTTTTTAGATGAACTTCAAAAACACAGTCACGCTTTCCACTTTCAGCAGTACCATTAGAATTGTAGTAAACCAAAGTAGAAAGAAGCTTATTACCTATTTCTTCATCGAGATGGGACTTCATTTAATCAAAATATAACGTGCTTCTCTCTTTTTTACTTTTTTTATAAGCCTAATTCAAATTTTCTGATTTTTTTTTCTTTGATGAGTATTTTATTCGGCTGCTATTGCAAATGAAACTAAGTCCTTGTTAGACAGCTATATAAATGAACAAAATCGATCGAAGCAATTATATCATCGGTTTAGCCTTTCTTGACTAAAAAATAAAGTTTGCTTCACGCTAGCCTTAAAAATGATCCTGATCTTATGAATTTAATATTATTGAGCTGTTCTCCGTTCTATTAATATGTTGTTATACTTGTGCTGTAATGCTTGGTAAAAGGGAGGCTATTTATCATCTTACGAATGGGTTGAATTTTCCTCAAGCTGGTTTTGTGTCGTACCCTGTTGATAAACCCACCGCAGCAGAAACCGCTAAACTCTCTAATTTATTAGTCCTGGTGGAGCCAGTTGCATCTCTTTTCACGTATATAATAATAACCTACACTGCGGTTTCGGCCCGCTTCATAAAGAGAATGAAAAGAATAAAAAATTATGTAAACCATCTTATTTTGAAAAATCGTTGCATGTATAACTATATTCAGTAAAGTGGTCTAGAGTATTTAGTGCCGTGTTGCGTTCTGCCTTACTTCTTTTGCTTGTTTTTATGCTAATGATACCAGAGCGTTTCTTTATTTTAGTAGTCAGAAAAATCGACATTGACTTCAGTCCTATATAAATCACTTGTGAAACTTATACTTCATATCCTTAAATTTATTTAAATATAAGAAATTTATATTTCTTAAAAGCCGTGTATATAAAGCTATTCTTTTTGAGTTAGATAGGCTTGATATAAAGCAGCCTTAAAATGTACAATTAGAGTTGGCTTATCTTAAAACGTAATATATTATTGGAAAGGAGCTAAGACAGAATCTTTCGTATAAGCGCACATTCGAGTTAAATGGGAAGGCCAGAAAAAAAATCCGATGGATAACACAACCACATACTATTGCCAAAACTTCGTCCGCGGACCATCCCTGGAAAACATAAAATTTCAGATGGCACAGCAAAAACAATCATAAAGCCATCTTTCACAGTGGCTGAACGCCCCGTTAGAAATAATTTCATTGGCATGAAGTATTGTTTTCCCAATAAAATTCCTAAAAGTCACCATCCTACGTAGCCATCCCATTTTGTGCGCATGAACTTAAAATAAATGAGAAAACTCATTTCCTTGAGCTTCATTGCAAACCACCTCCAATGAACAGTTCGCCAAATATAAACAACAATCCAAAATAATAATCTCTTTTATTATGGTATGTTATTAAAAAAAAATTAACCATATTTAACACAACTTAAGTCTTGCAAGTCTCATCTGGACCGCTTTGAAGTTGTCTCTAGTACAGCATTTAAGATGTCATCATAAGGCTTTTATCATAAAAATAGCAACATTGACTTCGCGAAGTATTCGTCTAAACCCACCGAAAACACAAAATTGATGATTACTACCAGCTGGAACGTAATTCTTAACAAATATTTTTATAAGTATTCATAATTTTCTTTTTTCTAGAAATGAGAGGAGGTGGAGTTGCAGTACAGAATAATGGCCGCTGCAAAAGCGATCTTATATTAAGCAGTCATTTAAATTACAGATACTGTGTTTGAAATTACAGGCGTTCAAACTACTCGGCCAATATTCCGCATAAGAAAATTCTATCTGACTACTCTTATGTTCCCATCAACAGTAGTTACGAACCAAGTGGATTTTGTTTAATAAACATTACCTTAAAATGAAGTTCTGATAATCTGCGTGTTCCAGCTTCTTTATCTGTAGATTTTCTCATATATAACTACGCTTTTGAAAGAGCGAAAGGGTTTCTTGTCGAAAACATTTTCAACAAAAATGTGGTGTCAGCATTTAACTTCTAGCGCTTGTTATTGATTTAGCAATAAAGCGCTTTTATAATATTTTTAATCAAGCAACATAAGTATGTATACCAAAACTTTCTCTTAGATTTGAAGATAAACCACTATCGTAACTTAATAAAACGACAATATTGTGAATCACCTTTAATTGACGGCTGCTAAAGAAATCTCTTCCTGACAAAGGTAATAAATAACTACAGTAAAAGCTCCTTATTCGCGCTTCCCTCATTCACGGTTTCACTATTCACGGATGAAAAAAATGCAATCAATTCCCATATTCGCGGCTATAAATTTTTTTATTCGCGTCTTTTCAGAATGTAAACTAACAGAATGAAAGGAACCTTATTACTCAATGAATAAATTATTGTTGCGAAAATCCCAAATCTAGTTCATTTCAGCTAAGTAATTTCCCCAAACAACAAATCGTCTAAAGAGGGAAAAACTAAATGCACATTCGCATTCAATTAAATTCCCTATAATCCCATATAAATTACCATTCCGTATTCACGGTTTCTTGTTTTATTTTGTCACCTAGGAACGTATCCCCTATAATCCCATATAAATTACCATTCGGTATTCGCGGCATTTTTATGGAACGTATCCTCCGCGAATAAAGAGCTTTTACTGTATTTAGGAGGACGTTATCCCCCTACTGCTCCCAAACATCCTCTAGAGCATCGAGTTTACTGTCATATTAAGTACAGTTTTAAAGAAAGTCATAAAAGATAATAAAACAAATTTTTATGAAACTAGAAGCAGAATACCTTCGTAAGGATTAGGTTTTCGGAAAAGCATCATACTTCTTAATCATTGAAGCTAAAAGTCTGCTTAAAAGCATGTTTAATGGTGGAAGATTTTCCGCCTGTAGGAATGACGTTCTTAAATAATGCATTCCCTTTCAAAGTACGTGTTCACAAAATGATTAACAGAGACTCCCGTTAAAAGGGTTTCGACTAACACAAGGACTATGTTTTTAACAGTTCCTAAAGGCCGGTTAATATGTCCGCCGGGTGAGCGAGAGGCTTGTGCTTTTCTCCCATATTATACAATATTTACATATTTGACTTCTATGAATTATCGAATTGCGCCTCGTTCATTTTAGTGGACGAAATAGCTGTGCATTATTATGATATTTATTTGGATGATATCATTAAAAGCCTTCACCAAAGTGGAATTGTACACCTATTTTCGTAAATGGAAACAATTCATTATTATTCGAAAGTTTCAGGTAAACTTTATTCACCACTCCTCGTTATAGACCGCAACGTCCTTTTTGAATAAGTAATATGAACAAGGTTAGTCATCTGAGGCCATTTTTTTGATGTCTTAAAATTGACTTTGTTGTACACATATTAGATATTGCTAAAAAAAGTAAATAATATGACACGACTGCTGTATGATTTAAATTAAGCGATAATTCTCATTAAGCAAAGCTAACAAAATATTAATATCCAAAGCCACAACATTTAATGCAGCTGCCTAGTTTCATATAACATTTTCCAACACAAATTATTAAATACTATATAATTCTTCATGGCCCCATCTGATATTTGGGCCTAATTCAGTTGATAACATCGTGTTGGCCCAAAACAGAATTAATAAAACTGTAGTCCAAAGTTTTTCGTTTGATTTTGCTAAAATTCCCTTCATTCAGTTATTATATTAATTAATGATTTATTTATTTATATTATTTTGTACAAATATTTAAATAGCAGAGGATCTAGGGAACCTGGTATTTGAACCGTATATAAATTATAGATAAACAAAAGTAAAGGCTGTAATAATAATAAAAATATATACTCTTTTAAGGCCTACTTTGCGCTATTAGGAACGCTCTGCAGACAACATAGTAAAGAGTAGTTGGGCAGGTCAAGATCAAGGCTGCATAATGAATACATTAACTCACCACACCATCTTGCTCAATTTTTTCCCATTCTTTAAAGGTGCAAAAGCAAAGCAAAGCGAGAACAAGCGTCCATACAAACCGTTTCTGCAGCTTCATCTATCTTGGGCCATGATTATTTTGCATATAACTCTTACGTGTGACATGAGTCTCATCGCCAGTTATCAATCCCTTTAAAAATGGCGCGATTTCGTTTCATTGTGACATCGATTTGCAGACGAAAATTTCGTTCATAAAATTTTTCGCTGCTAATTAATATGGTATTCTAGCATCCAATTTCTTCTTCGACTCAGTTTTATTCAGAAGATTCAACACTGTATTTTATAGTGGAATCTTAACATGAATAAACTTGACTGGGGAACGACCCCTTTTTCATATCGAGCGAATTAGAGCATCGTCATCTGCCATCTGGCTGGCATAATTGGACTGGTTTTATTAAAATTATGCGAGTCATCGATTGTGAAAAACGACACGAACTGCTCCTAAATGAGTTTACAATAGAACTTATAAAGTAAGTTTATTTTCAACTTCTAAATTTCCTTTTTTATCTGTCTGGGTGACCGAGTAGGCAAAAGGTCTAAACTCAATGGTGGATTCAATAGTCGTGGGTTCAAATCTCAAGGGTACGTTAGAGTTTTGAATAAACGCGATAGCTTTAACATGCTTTACAACTAAGTTTTAGAATTTATTTCTTTTATATCAGAGCCTTTCATTTTTTATGGTGAATTTATACGTTATAAACTTTGACAAACAAAATAAAAGCGCTATAATAACGAACTCGTACGAACTTTCAAACGCGATACAAAAGTAGTTCTGTATTACAACGTTAAGAAATTTTGTTTTTACGTCTGATATATTTATTTTACTTCTACTTTATTGCTCTTTGTTTTACTTTATTGCTCTTTACTCTACTTTATTGCTTACAGAACAGCTGCCAATAATTATGTTCACTTTCAACAAGGGCGTCAATCATCTTATTACCAGCACCAGTCACAACAAGAACAGCCACGAAATCAGCACAAGAATTTTACAGTAGCTGCTTTCATATCCAATAACGACAAATTATTGCTTAAAAATCTGGAAAAGCAAAGCTACTCAGATGCTTTTAAATTAGAACAATACGTTGTGCAACATTATCAACATCACCAAAAAAATCATTTGCAGAACAGCCAAACCAACCAACAATACAACATCAAACCAAAAGACTGTAAGATGCACTTATCCTCTATTCCGACTGAAGCAGTTGTGGACAATAAGCAAATATCATCTCCACGGCCACTTTTCCATGCAAAATTACTACATTTTGAACCAGAGGATTTGCGTAAGTCTGAGTCGGTCAATAAACTTGGGAATAGCAAACGGATGTTCGATGCTAGTGACTCTGCATTGCCAGCAGCAACTGACAATAACAGTAGTAATGTCTTATCCAAGCGCAAAAGATCAGTCTCTTTCACTGCAATTGTTAATGCTACAAACACTAATGGCAACATTGATGGTAGCTATCCCGTTAAGCAACTAGACCAATATAGTTTACCTCTAACACCTGAAATAAAAACGGAAGAGGACACTGTAACAGAGGCGAACGCAGATCTATCAACGGGAAACGAAAAATCCTATTAGATTCATTTCGTTGCAATTCCTAACATGTGAATCATTCGAGCACGTTATGCTTACAGACAAACACTTAGAAGGACAGTAATAAAACTACTTTAAATGATAACTGATAAAAAAAGGAAGAATAATAATATATACAACGATATGCAAAAAAGAAAAAAATTTTAAATTTAAGCTGACCTCTAAACTTTCCAATAGTTAATTTTTCTTTGTGTCTTTTTTTATTGATCCTATCTCCCTCATTTTGTTCAATTTTCAAGTATGTGTCATTGTGCCATGTGTTTGTAGTACAAATACAAAAGGCTTTCTTACATATGCAGAATTTATTATAGTCCATCAATTATTGATATTACGACGTAAATAATATATTGGCCTTCAGGGGGAAAGTGCATATGATTATTATACTTAATCAGTTGTAATTGACACACAGAAACATTTGGTTTACATCATACTATCATTGTTTTATTAATTGCTTTTTAATTACAGTAAGTTTCGTTAAGATTGGGTTTTTCGTTCAACAAAAAGTAAACGCTTGTTAAATATAGTCTATTGTAAAAAACTTAAAATTTTTTTTATTAGCTTTCTTCATATAATGAAGCATACGAAGAAAAAAAAATTGCATGTTATTAAAAATTAATATCGTTTTTGCTAAATAACATCATTTAAAAGTTTTGATATATTTTGTGTAATTTTTCTTGTTTAGAAAACAGAGATCTTACTCCGTGCTTCTTTTAGTCTATTTTTCAGGTCTTGTGCACAAAAGATTGAATATTATGGCACATGCCGGTCCCTTTCATTCCACATATTTTCGGTGGGATCCCTGGTGATTTGTAGAAGAGGTTGAAGCAGTTTGGGACAGTTATACAAGAGCTATTCTTAAATGAAGCGGGATTTACTCTGGAAGTCGTTATTTTGGTAGAGTTTCAATGTTTCCAAAAGACCAAGTTTGTCTCCTCTCATTTTCAAATTTTCCTTCCATAATCTTAAAAGACCCTCCTTATTTACAATGCCATCCATAAGCACCTATTTTTCAACTCCATCGACCAAATGAAACTGTGGCACGGCCTCAGGAAAACACGGTTGTAAGTTGTTTTTTTTTTTTCATTATAATTTCTGATGAGAACAAATATAACATTATTCCACTAGGAATTATGGTCCCTGACAAATTCTAGTCTCAGCTTTCTATTACGTTCTTGCACTAACGGCTTACGGCGAGTATACCAATGATCATGTTATAGTCTGCTATGCATTGAGCAAAAAGGATACCCCATCAAATATTCATTTTTAATAATGTGCTGTGTTTTTTCTTCGTATCGTATTATATGAAAAAACACAATATTAATGACGCTATGTTTTTGAAGTTGTTGAAGTTATCTAATTTTCTCGTCTACTGGAATAATATTTTGCTTGTTGTTTTTTAATATTTTAATATGTATTCCGTCGTAGTACAAAATAATAAAAAACATTTTTATGTTTGGGAAACGGATTAGGTTCAAAAAGCGTCTATTTTTTTATCGAGCGGGAAAACCCAATATTAATGAGATTCTGTATATATTTATTAATTTTACTTGTTTATGTATTTGACTTATTGTATCTAGTTTTCCCTATCACACATTAGTTATTCTACACGGCTTCTCTTCTTATTGTCTATGGTCGTTGCAGTGATCATCCGTGGTAAATGAAACGTTCCATTTCTCCATAATCTTATCAAAAATTCATAACACCCAAATTTATGCATATATTCATAATATTCTGCTACGTATATTTCATATTTGTAGCAGTATATTTTAAAGATTTGACCTTTGGGATTTTGTAGATATGGCGTTTCTGCGTTATAATTTTTTTAATTTTCGAACGGAATGCCAGTAAAATCTCGCTTAAGATTTAAGATACCTCTGTGCCTGTTCTTCCACTTAATTCGGTATAGACATTTCCGATGTGCCTGCTTCATCTTCATAACCAATATAGAACTCGTTTTTTTTTGTATATAAGTGCCTAACTGCTTAACTGATTATTTGGTTTCAATGGATATACATCCACAAGCCCGTCTTTACTCGTCCCTTGGAGGCTCTCTGTTAATTTTTTTGTCGCCGATCCGTCGTGGAATCTGATCATACCATCGTCCTCTTTACAATTCAAATTTGCGCTGCCGAATTGTGACCAAGGATCTTCATAAACTACAATCTCACCTGAAGACACTTTAATTTCGTACTCTAACATACGTTTGTTGTCTCCTAAAGAGACTAACCTCGTTTAATTTTCCGCGCAAAAAAAATTACCTCCTCATGCCCACTAAAAATATTCTTTATAAGATATATGATGGACGCTTTTGTTATTACAAAACTTTCAAATGTTTTCACTCTGGTTTTAGCCTAAACAATGATTCCGATTTCGTTTTAGCTATTGTTTGTCGAGAAAACTCCCGAGCGAATTGGTTGTTTAATTTTAAAACATTTAATTCCTCAAATGTTTACTCATCTTTCCCGCAAATTTTTCGATAACATTTTTAAATATACCGGTAGTAATATGAAATGTACGTAGCACAGCATTATGAAAATTGTACTGGGAAAACTAATTTTTGATAAGAATATGGAGGTAACGAACGTTCGGTTTACCACTCACCATGACTGCAGCGAGCATAAACTCAACTTATTGGATTTTACGTTAAGAGTCTTAATGTATAAAATGTCGAAATCCTTGACTCGACAACATGCCAAAAAAATTGTTCGAATTACATACGCTAAGACTAATAACTAGTTTTTAATATTTTGTATATTTATTTAATAGTTTCTGGAATATAAACAATATAATAACAACACAGTGAATAGACGCCGTGTAGAATAAAATTAATATGTATATAAATAAAATAAGCAAATTAGACAAAGATAAATATAATAAAGTACAACGTAGTTCTTTTTTAATAATAGAAAATTTTTTGCTATTTATTGATACGAAACCTTTTTTTGAAATTTGTCAAAGAATTTGATAAACATTGAATTCATCAATCCTTCAAAATAAACGATGGAAAAAGTCCAATTATATTTGCTACATACATGACTGCTGCTTGATCTTTTTTGGTACGTACCCCTTATATTGACTTAAATGCACAGAATTGTATGTGCCTTTGCTTGGCAAACATTTGAGGAAATGCGATATTATATCAAAAAACTATTAGCAGAATTTTTGCCCATATCAATAATGAGAATGAAGGAGCAAGCATATAAATAGCAGCTAATTAACAACGTTACCGCTGTGAACGATATATCGAACAGATGTACAAAAATTCCCTAAGATTCTACTTATCGCATTTTTGAACAAAATATTGTAATATCTATATTTTCTTTCAAGACGACTTTATCTTATAATATCGCAGGGCAAAGCACAGGAACATTGAAAGCTTCATATATTCATAAAACTTAGATTTTCGGCACAAATGAAGCATTGGTAGAGAATACACGTAGCGTGGATTACAAGAAATTGCTTTATTAACGTAATTAGTCAAAAGGGAATTGGATCCGTCCCTCTACACGTCTGAACGTATTTCTTGATAAAATACTTCGATGAATTGTAGTCGTATGGAATCTTTGTATCTCAAATATGTTGCTGTTCCGCTTTTCCGAATGCATTTTTGAGGATAAGTATAGTAGATAGATAGTTTGATAGGTATAGTAGAGTTTGAAATGAATCATCGATTTGTGTTCTGGGCAGCGTGTCCTCTGTGAGACGGATTTGCGTATACTGCTTTTATTCGATGTTATGCACATGAATAGTTGTGCATAGATTTCACTCTTTTAATTCGCGTAGAATGGGTAGATCCTTAACAGTTACTAGCGATTGACGATTGTTGAATCTAAATATGTACTGGAGCCATCAATAATTAAGAAAGAAATACTTTCGTCATTTCACCAAGCGTTCTTAACACATTAAGGACGGTGCAGGTTTTCCTATTTCGCTTCATTGGGCGGCAGCAAAAATCGTACTTTGCTTTATCTGGCGGCGGCTTGCGCAAAATGTTCTTTACCAAAACTTCACACTTAAAAGTGTAGTTTCCTTTTATTTTACGTTTAATATATCATATACGCAGCGCTAGTACCCACGGATCGTTGCGTGCATGCCGTCTACGAATTTACCGTTTACTTATGAAGTATGGCCATGGAAAAATTAGACTATAGTTTTCCCGTTATTCGATTTTTGATAAGCACTTGCTTTTAGTTGGTTCTGTAAATATAAAGCTGAGTGTTGATGAATTATTCTTCAGTCTTTACGGATTACTAATAAATAGTGAACTGCTTTTGAGGTGTAACTTTTTTTTAATTTTGTACAGAATTTGAAAATTTAAAATGAATTAAAAGTTGATTTTATCTGATAAGCAGAATTTCAAGACATAGCCGGTAAAATATATATATGTATGAAACATTTTCACCCCCTTGAAAATGGATGAAATGGATTTAGCAGGAAAAGACCAAGGCTGATAATGCTTTCATCTTCTACAGAGGAGAACGATATTTATGATTGGGAGGAAAAAAGTGATGAGGAGACAGAATGGAAGCAGGTCACAGGAAGAAGCAGTTTGATATATTAGTATATGGAAGAGGAGTAATTTTTGGACGAAAATGTTTATTGCGATGCTCCTTTTTCGTTGTACCAGTTATTTTTGTCAGACCATCTTTTAAAATTGATAGTGAAAGAAACAAACAGATATGCTGAACAATCTAACGTTGGTGTTGAAAACAAATCTTTATCCACCACCAGAAAACATCAACAATCCTAGATGCCTCTTACGATAGGAGAAATAAAAAAGTTTATTGGTATACTAGTTATTATGGGTCAAGTACGGTTGCCAGAAATTAAGTTATATTGGTCGAAAAATACAATGTATTCACGCATATAATGATGAAATTTACACTGAAAAGACCGTAAATTCCACAACGAAAGGACATGCACATAACGTTGTAATGTGATTCATGAATGTATTTTTATTTGAGGGTCGCAGTTCATATACAGATAGTTACTATACAAATGTGCTGTCAGCTGAAGAACTTCTAGATAAATCAACGAATTTATGCGGTACTTTAAAAGTACTTTCTACCAATAGTAGCAAAACTAAAACAAAAACGAGGTGACATTGTGAGTTAAATTTCTAAAATGGACAGATAAAAGATCTGTTGGCATGTTAACTACTTGCAACAATCATACCTGTACTATTATTGAAGGAACAAGTCGTAAGCTAAAAGCCGATGCTATTTTAGAGTACAACAATGCAAAACAAGGCCTTGATATATCCGGTCAAATTGCATCATATTACAATTCCTTACGCAAAACCGTTAAGTGGTACCGAAAAATTATCATAGAGTTGATTTGCGCAACATCAATTGCAAATGCATGGTATATTTATCAGAAGTGGGGTACCAAGCATTTTGATGTTTTACAATTTAGAGAAAATAGTATTGACCCGCTCCCTGATGGAATGCCTACAGAACCACTAAACCTAAACCCTAAAAGAGGAACTGCACATTTTCTTCAGAAGTATCCTGGGACTGCAAGAAAGTCGCGGAAACGATGTCGTGAATGTTATAAA